AAAGTAGACGCGCGAGTGACACGCGAGAGGAGATGCTAAGGCCAGAGGCGGGGGAGAAAAAGTCCCCTCGGCCCCTCGCGGATCCGCCGCTCCCTCGCGCTTTCTTGCACGGCTCGCTTCGCTCGCCCAAATATAAGACCCTGCTCACAAGCTAAGTGGAAACGCGATGTTCGCCTGCCAGACGCTTCCTTTGATCCCCACTTTTGTCTTACGTCATCCAAGATCCTTTTGGCTAGCAACATTTTCGCGCTGTGAGGTCTGAGGCAGTGTAAGTTCTCCCTTCTGTGGTTTCAAATGAAAGTTTGGGATCATCGTTTGCCACTTAAAGTTCATCCTCATTCATGTCCATAGCACATTTCTTAGCATCTAAGCATTGATATTCAGCTTTCTACCTCCTTACCTTCTTGGAATTGAACAACAGCCTGCAATTTCGGATCTTTAGATGTGATTCTTAAAGCTGACTTGTTCTTGGTTTCTTTGTGGTCGATGTTTGTCACTTCCTTGAGCCCGCGGCCATCAACTGAACGGGATGCGTAGAGCAAGGTGTTAAGGTGTAAAGCACTGGCATAAAGAACGTGAGTACCGGCAAGACAAATATGTTGATAGCGTTTTATGTGACACTTGTCATTATTTATTTTGATGCTTTGATACTGTTGCATTGAATGTTAGCAGTAAATAAGGTTGCTCTAAAGTGTATTACAACTCTTTGCTTGAATTAAGGTTTTCATCTCCATGCATTGCTCTTTCTTTATGAATATGCGATTAAGAAACATTTCATACACCAAACTGGTTTGAAATCGTTTCCAAAAACGTGTGGTTTTCGACTCGTTTTTCATTCAGTTTCTTAATTCATCCACCTGATCAGAATGAGGCGTTCTGGTTGGGCGACAACATCATGAATATTTCAGAATGAGTTTGGGAATTGCTGTTTGAGTTTTTTAAAATTTCGCGCTGATTTGTTTCCGCCTTTTCACGCGTCTTTTCGTCATCTTTGCTTGCTTTTGTATAGCCTCGTGTTCTCCCGAAGCTTTTGATAAAAGCTGTCTCCCTGCAAAATTTTCCTTTCTACAATTCACATTCCTTGGCCTTTGCTTTCGTCCCCAAAGGGGTTCTTTGATAGTAATCGTTCACATGTCGCCAAGCAACGGCAAATAAATAGGTGATACAATTTAATTTCCATAGCTTCTCTTCAGGTTCCATTTCGGAATAGCCTATTTTTTTAGAAATTAGCCTGTCTGGTACTTAATTTAAGATCTTTTGTTCTTTAGTTGCTGAAACATTCCTCGCTTTTTTGACCACGGCGTTTGTTGAGGTCCCATCTATCATCATAGATATCATTGTAAACTTCCATCGCCTTGTTGAATAGGATTAAATGAATTTCTGAATATCCATCGTATTCTTGCGTCCTTGAAAGCCCCGTTGTTCTAGGCATCGTTCTGTTTTGTTCTCCTGTGGGTTGGGACCCTTGATTTGTAAAGTTTCTTTCGCCCTCAATAGCAGTGGATTCATTTGCATTCTCTCTCCCAGATTCACATTCTTGAATAGGATTGTTGTTTTCTGCAATTTCAGACAGCATATGTTGTTCCTTCATGTGATCTCTCAGAGTTTTAGAGCCTCTTTCTGCTTTTGCAGCTCTATCGGACAAATTCTCTACAAAAACTTGCATCTGCAGGTGTTCATAGCCCATCTCGTTCCATTTCCATAACATTCCGCAGCCCTTTTGTCTGTTTGTTCCATTTCATCTCCACCTGGGCTTCTCTCTTACAAGGTAATAGGTCCATCAATATTATTTTGTGGAGTCCAATTCACTTTCCTTTTGCCCGACCTCTTCATGTTAATTTTTCTTTCTTTCTTTCTTATTTCTTTTAACTTCAGGTTCCGTTTCATTTTCAAGAAGATCATCGCGCCGAATGCTTATTTTTCTAGGGATATTTACTTGCCGTTTCACAAACTTTGTAGACCTGTAAGGTCATACGCGCAATCATGCATAGACGCGCTTTGAAATCGCTTCAGCCATTGGTTGACGAGAATGAACGACGATGCTCATTAATATGAGATTAAGATGGTAAACCTGGCTTGAGCTGCGAGGTGCTCCCACTCAAACGACAAGCCACTCTGCAATGTTCTAATCACATGCTTTACCCGCTCATTCATCGCATGCTGTTATTCACTCTATCACGCATGCGAATATTACTAAACTGGTAGATACATTTTTGTTTTAAATTTCGGTATGCTCATGCACGTGATCCCGACCAGTCAGTGACAATCGGATTTATAACAAGAGAAACTGCAGGCGTATAAGAAAATGCATTGTAATGTCATCTATATAACGTAAAATCCAAGAAAACTTAATGCTTCGAGGAAATAAGAGCTATAATAACGTAAATGCACTTACAGTATGGCATAGTATTCGCGCATTTTCTCAGAGAATTGCCAATTGTTTCTTAGTCAACACTCATCAGTTGCAAGTTATAACCACTGCCGCTCGTAAAGTGTATAT